AAAAATTATCGAAATACTTTCCGTAAAAAACACCAAGTGACACTCTAATCCAGGTACCGCTAGTCATATAAGAGGTGTATGGGAACGTCAAATACACACCGATAAAAGAGCTTTGAAAACTGTTTTAAAATTCGATGAAGTTCTTCAAACGTTTTTTGTTGAAGTAAAAAACATAATCCACTCCAGGCATTCGAACAAATTTGGTAAGATGCGCAAGACAAAGAAGCACATACGCCTAATAATTTTTTACTGGGACCTCGAAAGTAGGTATGTCCACTAGTTCTGACCATTTAAAAAAGCAGTGGATGATTGTCCAACATTTAAGTAACAATATTACTTTACTTATATATCCAAATGGAACGGTGAACAGAAAGCTGTTAAGATCGGTGATCGGTCATTGTTGATGACCAAAACCAAAGGAATGTCTGGCCAAAGGGTATAGTAACGGCTGTATATCTAAGTAGGGATGGAAGTATCCATGTAGCTGAGATTAGAAGAATTACTGGGATCTATTTTAAAGTTGTAACCCTTCATTTCGATAAAAATAAAGCCACTTAAAGCAAGCTTCATTTTGGGAGGTACGAATTTAGTTATTTATTTTCATAATTTTTTAGTTTACTGGGATTTTTGACAACTTGTCAGGAAAAAATATTGAAGTACAAATAATATAAAAAGTTGATACATTTGCAACCAGTATTTTGACTTACTTTTCAACCAGTGCATTTTAAAGAGTCTTCCACAGACAATCGGCTCTTAGGATGGCAGACCCCACAGTTATTTTCATTTTTAAAGGCCAAGCTGTTCTTCATCATTTTCTAAAATATTATTGTTTATAATGAGGTCTATATCATCAACATCCACCTCTACCAAAATTGCTAATTCCAACTTTTGATCCGTATTCCAAACAATCTTAATCCATGATGTAAGTAACCAGGTGTAGTATTCCCGTAGATTCTCGGCAATCAATCAGAATATTCTTTCCCAATGGCCTCGGGTAATTTAAATTATTAGGAGTAAATGATAAATTTATTAGTTTGTGATAAAATTGTAATGTGAGCCATTTCATTATTCAGTCATGCTCTAATCCTCTCCCTAATCCCTCTTTGTCTTATTTGGCCTTTGAGGCTCAACTTGTCCGATTATCATACATAATTAAACCCGTTAAGACCAAACATATGTAGTAGAACGTGACAATGTTTCTAGTTTTGGCGGAGATCATTCTGGAATCCACCAGAATTTTAAATGTGTATATAAATATTGGTGGAGGAACAACGCAGCAGTCAGTTGTATACAAAATAGTTATAAAGATAAATAGTTTAAAGACATTCAAAATATATAAATTAGAATAGTATTGTTTAAAACAAATAAGGGTTCAAATAAATTATTAATAAATAAACTGTTGTTTTAAAATAAATAAACGTCACAATATATTACTTATTTTTATTTATCTCCATTTTTTATCTTATTTATAACTACATCGATGTATTTGTTTAATTTGTATATTTATCACGATATTTATTGATTAACATGTTTGGTTCTTTAGTTTAATGACCTCTGCCTATTCACGTATCTCTAAAAATTCTCAACACTTACTGATTTTCATAAATTAATATGAAAATATAAATCGCACGTATCTACGCATCTTTTTCAAATCTACGCATCGAATTTTTAATTCTAGTTTTTTAGAGAATATAATGATGTTGCACGTATTTTAAATGCAATTATTCAATCAATTTTTCTGCAGTTAAATATAGTAATTATATCTAATTACGGGCACTTTCAAAAAATATATTTTTTTATTTGAGTTTTAATTTATAAAAACTAAGCGTCTATCTAAGCAAAAAAATAATGGATTTGAATGTTTATTATAGGTAGCTTGATATTTATTTAAAAGTCACATCAAAAAACTTCAAAATTTTTTAAATATATTTTCAGTAATTCCTTTTTATTAAAATAAACAACAGACACCTAATTATTTTTCTATTTCACTATTCTTACAATTCACACAGAGATGGGATTAACAGAAAAATAAAAGTATACATTTGGCAACAAGATTTAAATTTTCTGAATTTATTGGCACACGTTACGGCACATAGGGTAGGAGAGAGTTTCTTTAAAACGGACAGCCATTGAATTGGATACCTTCATTATCTAAATGCCTGGCTGAGATATTCCCACGTTTATGCAACCTGTACATCACTTATTCTTAGTCACTTGTACGCAACACCATCTGATTCGGTTGCAAGCTTGAACGAGACGAGACGTTTTACGCAATATTTCTTATGATTAAAGTAAATATTTGTCTGCTCTGTTTTAAAGTCAATATGTCTTTTACACGAATATATTAAAAATATTGATGTTAAAGGTTACGTTACAAATCTTCATATTTTATGAATTGGACAAGTGAGTGACCTATGAAATGAACGTCCAATTTATTGAAATTTAAGGTATCCGGCTCATGGTAGGTAGATGTTTTTTCTATTCTAGTTGACTTATAAGATGACGAAAAGAGTCAGAAAATCAGACGACAAAATTCGAGACGGAGTCGATACGGTTTTAAAGAAGATTTTCTTCATTAGAACTATTGCCAAAACAAGAGGTATTTCTAAATTTTTATTAGCGAAAATGATAAAAAATCTAGATAACTCTACATATATTAGGAACATTGGTAACAGAAAGACATTCACCAACGATATGTGTGATTGATTTTATGAAAGGTAACTTTTCAAAAAATTGAAGGGAAAATATTTTTATGTCCTGAAAAGTTATTCTGAAAAATTTCTTCATTACATAATTTTAACTACTGTCCTAAACTTCCAAAACAACTAACAAAATAAATATATGTGCTTTTTAACAAACATTTCGTATTGCATGTACCTGGTAACATTTTTATATTTCATTTTTTATTCTATTTATTTTATTGACCACAATTTATAAAAATAAACGTCACAAAAGGTTATTATACAACCACTACAAACAGAAATTAGTCTTAAAAATGTTGGAAGACACAAAAATATTTGCTAGCTCAAACAAAATCATATAATATCTAATCATTTTTTTGGTTTGACTTACAAACAAAACTATTAATAATATGACATTTTTTCTTTTCTAATATTAGTTATAGTCAGTGGGTATTTTGATTTCTATCAATTATGATACAAAATATTTAAGTAATTCTTAGTCAAATTTAACAATATTGATAATAATTATTTTATTTCATAATTTCCTGTAATAACTTTTAATCGCCTTTTGTTAAAAATAATATAAAACCTACCAATAGGAACGAATTATTTAATTTAAATTATTACATTTTAAATTTACATGTAATATAAATTTAAGCTAACTTCGTCCCTTTTCACTCTCCATTTCTTCTTATGTCACTTCTTGTGATGATGGGTGAGGTTTTCCTGGTTTTCGACACCTGTTAGTTAAAAGACAGCATCAATCATCATTAAGTCGCCCCGGAGCGTTACGGCAAATAATAATAATAATAATAACCATCCCTTCCACACACAACCTCAGTCGGCTTTCGGGATAAAAATTCACTCGTAAGAGGGTGAATTAGGGAGAGTAATAATATATTATTATTATTTCTCTTCGACGGTTATAGTCTACAGAGGCTCCTTCAACGTTTCCCATAACCCGACGGAATGTAGTTTGACAGCACTGATGTCTTTATGAGTTGGTGCCATTACAATCATACTTCTAAAGCTTGATATAGAAGTAGCAGTACTAAACTAACAGCACCTGAAGATGACTCTCGTATCCATTCTAAACGCATAACATAACATATTTTGGCATCTCTAAGAATTCTTAAAATAAAATGTATCACTTATTGTTAGAAATATTCTTATGCTAGTTTATAAAACTATACTTGATTTTTTAAAACCAATTTTTAATATACAGAGTGATTTAGAATTCGATGCAGGCCTTATAGAAATAGCGAAATAATGTTTAATAAATGACAGTGAGGTTTTAATACTCAAAAATAGTAATTATGAAGTCTTATATATGTTTATTACACCTTTATTACACCTTGTTTTTCTTCCAATTTCATACAAAAGAGAGACTTTAAGTAATTGCTAAACATTTATCAGAAACTTGAAAATTTATTATTTTTTCTTTATTGTAAAGGGAAGTAGCAAATAATTGAATATTTCAGAAAGGAGTGTTTGATCATGGATCTTTAACCACTTAATGTTCACATTTATTTTGATTTCTTAGTCATAAAATTATTGGATTTTTTTAAAGTGAAAATTTAGTGTTAATTCTAATTAAAATTTTATTAGAACACGCTCGCATACCAAACGTGCGTAAAAAAAATTGTGAGTAAATATAATGATTGCCCGTGTCTCAGTCGAGCGCGTACAAAATTGCCAGTAAGGCGCGCTCGTCTCTGACACGGAAATATACGATAAGTGGTTAGGAAACTATATGAAAGATAAAGAATCAGTTTAGGAGCCATTAACGGCTTTTACAACCTGGTCCAAAAAGAAAATCAAAAGAATTTAGTATTAGAATGAATTCAAACCATTCTTGTCCAAAATTTAATTTTAAATATGTAAAAATCAAAACATGCTAGAACTACTAAGTAGTATTAGGTATATCTTTATTTTCATGTTTGTGTTGGCATTAATGTATCAGCAATTTTTTTTTTGTATATTATTATCTTTTTTACTGTTGACGAATCTCTCTTTGGACATTGGTTAACTATTCTTTTTTATTATCTCCCTTGTGAGTTGCCCATTGAATTATAAAACGACTCTTATATATTTAACTAAACTATCTCCAAAGTCTATTTAAAAAATACAATCGTCCTGTTTCCCATTTCAAAACAATTCCTCGACGTACAAAACTTAAATGTAACTCGTTCATTTCTTTTAGCTCCGGTTGCCGTCTGACCGATCCTCAATCGTACACAAACCGTTTAACAAAAAAGAACAAGGACCAAAAGAGTCTCATTATTGTCACTAGAAAAACCCCTCGTTAACGGTCAATCGTCACATCATTGTGGCCGGCGCCTCCCGACGCGCTAACAAAGCGACAATCGCGGCCGAAACAACGAAACATCCCACCGACTGCGCCAATTGCGACCGCGACGGGCGCGCTGGAGAAGCAGACGCGGCAGACGACAACGAGGAGTTCGGCTCACCATCGATCACGATGTTCTGGCTATCGACATAGTTGGCTCTGAAACAAGAAAATCTTATTAAATGTGGACGATCGCAATAAATGGTATGTAGGGCGAAGGAATATTTTTGTTTGTAGTTTTGACTGTTTTCAAGGGATGTGGGATTTTAACAGGTTGATTGGTTGTAAAAACTATTCGTAAACGCCAATAAAATATTTGTCTTTTATTTAACAATATCAATTTGTAAAATTCTAGGGTATGTATATAGACCATTTTTAGGCCTCCTCCAAAATAACGTTATATTTTACTCCTTAAAAAAGAGATACGAAAATATCACTTCTACTTCTTTAAAAGTGTTTCCAACCAATTTTATTTTTGCCGTAGATGAATATATAAGTACTAAAAGCAGAATAAAATGAAGAATATACAACTACATAATCAAGTAGTAATAAATAGGTATTTAATGCAGAATAAACTGCATACAAAAATAACAATGTACCTACTATCTAAGTTGGACACTCTAGACATTCTAGATTTGTAATATTCACTGGCTAGGGTATTGTGACGAAGTTACTAAATTTTATTTTTAATTTTTTATAAAAATGTATATTTTAATTAATTTTCCTCTGGGAACTTTCCTAGAACTTCCCGTTTTTAAATATTTGCGAGATCATCATAGTTTAAAATATATTCATATTTACTGAAATTCGAATTTGGATTTGAACATTAAATTTCTTATAAATGATCTAGATATATTCAACAGGTGTCAAAAGGGCGTTTTCTATTACTTCGCTGGTAAACACTAGAACTAGAGGTGGATTCTCCTACTACGGAATTGCTCGTAAACCGAACACGTCTGCTCGTGGGACATAAATACGGGAGCCCAAAGAAATTCCTTCTCTTGGCTCCTGTCTACCGTCGCCTCTCGTGCTGCTCCCGCTGAACTAGATCGAAGTGACCGAGTGACAAATTGTGCTAAAGCTGAATAGTATTTTTCTTTCGAATCCGTAACAATACTTAATTCCGAGGCAGATTTTTATTTCTGATTAAAACTTTTTTTTCCCGCTGGGCTGTATTTCAGCTATTTTTGCAATGGTCGATATTAGAGAAATCGCTCCATAATTTAAACAATCCAGTTTGTTTCCTTTTTTAAATAGGGGTTTCATATTAGTTTCTTTGAGTATAACTTGAAAAATGCTTTTGTTCAAAATATTGTTAATAAGGTGACAAATTGGTCTACTTATATAATTATTCATTGCAACCCACTCTTTCTTTTTTCTTGTAGATCTTGCTTGAATAGTATAATTTTGAATAACATTTTTGATTTTTATATCAAGATATCTGCAGTTTTCTCAACATCATCACACATATAGAAATCCTTCCAAGTTTCTAGAGCAGCTAGTTTTTTAAGCTTGTTCTAATTAATCTTATTGTAAGTTCTAAAAACTCTTTTCTTGATTTCAAATTAAAAAATTGTTGTAAAATGAACTGAGAACTTTTTACTAAAATTTTAAATTAATTGTTTTGGAAAAAAATTATCAAGGCAGGATCGAGAATTACCCTGAACTCTAGTAGGGGTATTAATTTGTTAAATAAACTGTTGCTCATTTGAAATATTTAAATAATCATTGCAGTTGCCTAAATTTAATTAAATGTTTACATTTATATTGCCAGTCAATATAATAATTCCATCAGTTCTAATATGTTCACTTAAAAAGTTCTCTAACATATAATTAAAATATCAATATCTTGAGATGGTGATCTATAAATAAATGTCTATTATTGTTAAAGTTTTACCATTTGTACATCGTAATAACAGTGACTTTTAATATAAACCACAACAACATTCTGATTTAGGTCCCCTCGCTATAAATTAAATCGTAGCCCCCAAACTGGTATAAGCTTTTATTTTTTATTTAACTAATTTTTGTTAAAACTAAGGCATCAACATTTTTATTTCTCAATTAAGATCAGATTCAAGGTCCACAAAATGTTTTAAAATGCTACAAATATTTTGATTGTCTACTGAGAATCCTAACAAAGAAGCTAGTTTATTTTTGCAGTTTTCATATATTTCATAAACTAACGTTTTAATTATATTGTCATCGAAATCTCGTATAAATGGGCCCATTTTAAAAGTAAACTTATTTCGTAGAAAGAAACTTATAAAATTTGTTTCAGCTACAAAAATGGAAAATTTAATACATCAATTTTTAATCAAGAAACATAAAAATACAATGACGACTACTTAATAAAAGAGGGAAAAGAAAAAATATAAGGAAAATTTAAATCATTTGCAATATTTCTATTGTTTTTTAGAACTTTTAGAAGGTTGGCGTGATGCATTGGGTGAAGTCGAGTCCAGGTTCTTCCTCTTTGTTGCAATTCCACGTGTTTAAACTGAGGTGGCAGAAATTATTTTTTTTCCTCCTTTGTCGAATATTTATTATTACTTTCCTCTTCTTCTAACTCAGAATCACTCTCTTTGTCGTCACACGAACCTTCACTTGAGCATTCTGAATTTTTGACTTCTAATTCTTGAACAGAATACATTTTGCTTCCTATTTCTAATCTGTGACCTCTGATTTTCGCTTGAAGTTGCTTTCCGCTAGCAATTTTAAGGTGTTTGGGTAGTACTAATTGCTGTTTCCGATCCTCCTCAAAGATATCGTTTTCAAAGGAAATATTTGTGTGTTTTAATGATTTTAAAAAATCTACATTTTTAAAAATTTCTAGCTTCTTTAAGAAGGTCATAAATTCCACTATGACTAACACCACTTCCCAATGTAAAAATATTATTAATATCTGTTTCAGTTATCGTCAATTGGAGAAGATTATTTAATTTTTTTATTGTACTCTCGATTAATAAATCTTTCTTAATATCAAGAACAAAAATAATGATTATATTTTTTCAAACTTTACTTTTTATGAAAACACTTTTTTCTTCCAGTAAATCAATTTTTTTTTTATTTTTGTCTATTTCTTTTTTGAGAACAGTTACATTATTTTCAATACTATTTGTAATATCTTTGGTTCAAAGATCATATATGGGTTTTTAAGTTTGTTTTGATTATAATCTTAGCTAAAATTGTACTATCATGAAACTTACATGGGTATGAATATAATTTTTTCTTAACTTATCAGTTTTTTAATTACTTTTATTCAATAAGACTTTGATTTTCGTTAGAAAGATCTATAACAAAGCGCTTACAGAATACAGCGCAAATAGAGTATGTTTCTATGATTTAAGAATCAAAAAGTTCATATTGAACCTCTGTAAATTTAGTTTTTTAGCATTTTGTCTCGATTTTGATTAAAAAAATTGGATATTCCTCATGAATTGTTAATATTTTTCAAGAAATGAAGTTGCCACATTTTTTCATAATGTTAACCACCTATTTCCAATCCCGTAAGTATTACAGATCAATGAGATAATACCACATGTAGACTTGCATAAATTAAATAAACTTTTTACCTAGATGGTGTTTCCACTGTGGGAGATTGCGAAGCTGATCTAGACCTTTCGAGAACGCTATTGGATAATTCTTCATCTTGCTCTTTCTCTGCTGATCCAAATTGCTCATTGTAGTCTTCTTCGTCTTGCGATAAACCGTAACCTCGTGTTGGCCCTGGTATTTCTGCAAACAAAAATATTTTTTGGTGATGGAAGTTTATCAGAAATTGTGAAAATAAAACACTAACGAAGATGAGTAAATGTATTAAAGATTTGTAGAGCTATATCGGGTGTTTTAAAATTACCCTCACAAACATTTTTCTAGTCACCATAAGTCACCATAAGAGACTGGTAATTCAAATGGAAAACTTGAGGAAGGTAATTAAGCAGCACTCCAATTAACGGGATGGTTTTCGTATCTAAATGACAGTTCTCAAAGTCAGTTGTCGCTTGTCAGAGAATATAAAATGGCTGTTGCATTGCAATTGAAGGTGCATCGGATTTTGATCCATCTAGAGATATTTTTCAATACCCGGAATATTGGTAGTGATGCAATTTATGCATCATATTAAACAGATTAAAAGGATAACCAAAAAATTAAAAACGAGCATTTAAAAAAAATATAGATCTTGCACTGTTTTGCACCAATAGTAAGTAATATTTACAAACTTGTTTTTGATTCAGTGTTAAAATAATTAGTTTGTTACTTTAGTTCCTTTTTGTTTTTAGTTTTTAACTATTACTGTTATTGTAAAGAAAATGATATCTGTAAACCTCGGCCATCAACATCAATCACTAATACAATACCATTGATATCAAACAAGAAAAATGTACCCCGAAATTTTCAAGGGTCCAAATGTGTGTAAGTTTAATTTAAGCTTGAAAGCTAGATTCATTTATCACAATGCCCAGAGGATAATTAGGAATTTGAAAAACATGAAATGGTCTACAAACTATTCGATAAAAAGAATTATTTGATGCAGAATTCTTCAATCTAACTAGTGATCTCGATAAGCATATGGCAAATTTTATCCACACTCAAATTTGTCTTGATAGTAAGACACCAAAAGAATAAGGCTTCAACTTCAATTTTTTCCAAACTTATTTGCCACTCCAAATCTCAAAACTTTTATAAATATACATGTTCATTTTGTTAAAGGAAACTTTTTTTAGAGGTTTCTTTTATAAATATTTAATTATTTAAATGATGTAAGTACATATTTGTCTATGTATTTTCATGTTTAAATGGACAAATTTTATGATGCGGTATTAATTTACTGTAAAAATTAAAAATAAAATAAATTGCATTTTATATCTAATTTGAAATTATTGCAAAAATCTAATGAATTAAAATCAAATAAAAATATAAATTGGCAAAATATTATTAGTTTTAAATCATAAAACAGTCAATATGGTTGTTTTATGATTTGAAACTAGTCAAAACAAACCAATTTATATTTTGGTTTAATTTTTTTAATTACATTTTTGCCCAGCTAGCAGAAAGTTAAATTTTAAAAAGCTTGCCCTAGGCGGCCATATTGAATTTAGTACCCCTAATATATGCCAATAAATCTAACAGATTTTGTTAAAGTGAGATATAAAATTTTTCAGAATTATAAGTACCTATCTAATATATTTCTTGTTATTTGCAGCTAACACGAATAAAGTTAAGATTGTTATAAAATACTTATTTTAGTATCAAGACATTATAAACCTTTAGATAACTCAAATAAGAAATACTAAATTCAAAAATTAAGATTTTTGAACCAATATTTCCTCAGCGTAAATCTGTAATATCCGAAAATTATCTCCTGAAACTCCGTTTTAGTTCAAACATGTATCCACAAGCAAAATGGCACACATATTCCTTGGCATAACATATTTCTACCCCCATTATCTATAAATAAAACATAACCCATTTGTTTAACGGATATTGTATCGGCTTTCCATATTCTTTTCGAATCACCAGTAACCTTTGAGAAAAGAATTTTCAAACCGAAACTGAAATAAAGCCCACAAAATCCTTGTGTCCAGAGTCGGTTCATCTAAAATCCGGATAGTTGCATAAAGTAAAAAGTTCATCATACTCTTATGAAACCAAATTAAAATTTTTATTATTACCGAAGACAAGGCACTCAGTACATTGTAGAATAAAATTAAATTACATAAAAATACTGGATGCCTAAAACGATTTAACATTAAATAAAAGTTGCCATGTCCTTTATTATGAATTCCAGGCAGACGTCAAAGTACACTCACTAAATTAAGATTATAATTTTTTTACATGCACTTTTTAGAGAAAAGTTTAATTTTAACTCTAGCGACTTAAGCTTTGTCTGAAAATTAAAATATAGGGATTTAAAGTACCTACATAAAAAAGTAGGTGTACTAAAAATGAATAGAGGAACTACAATTATTCAAAATCAGAATCAGTATTATTTTTTGGATAATTTATTTATGATTCAATAAATTAAAGTTTTGATATGAAACATGCTTAAAATACTATTTAATTAATAATAATTATTTAAATATTGTTTTAAAATAACGCGAAAACTTTTTAGTTATAATATAATTTTTTTCTACTCCCCCATGGATATTAGATTATCTACGCACAGATTACATAACGTAAAGTATGTTTTTGCCTTCAACTGAACAAATATATTTAATATCCATTCTGGGTAGGGAAAAAACTGTAAAAAAATTAAATCCACCAACCACCGTTCATATTTTGATCAACCGACTGCTATTTTTTTTTTTTTTTTTAATTTGATGTCATCGGCATCGACTACTAAGGCTATTAGCCTCGTGTTCTGTCTAGGATTTGTTACTGTTTTCCAGCGCCACTTTAGGAACAGCACTGTTAATTAGAACCCAACAGTGAATGGTCGAGTAGGGAATCCTACCAAGGCAACAGAATTAATTTTAAATATTTAAATTAAATAAAAAAAATTTAACTTAGTGACAATTTTGTCAAACTAATTGTCAGTATATTTTTTAGTTATTGAGATTAAACATTCTTGTGTAGAATCGATAAATAATAGCTTTTCTGTATTTATTTCGTCTATAATTATAAATAATTTGTTAATTTAAATAAAACTCTATGAAGTAAATTTAATTACGAGTATTAAAGCAACAAAAATAAAAGAATAGGTGGTCCTGTGGTCACCGTTCTGGCCTTCCACACAGAAGACTCGAAATCGATTCTCGGTTAGGAAAAAATGATAGTTTTTTTTTTATTTTAAAAATTATTAAAAGTCGTAAATTATTTAAAAGTTAGTTATTTTGTCTTAATAACCAAAATATTTTTTTTATTTATAAATTTTTGTCAGACGATCAAGCACTCCGCCTATGGGGTCGTGCTCAAATTTCGTCTTGGTGCGATATGGCCATCATATCCAATCTTGTTGCACAAACTACTATTATACATTTCAGGATAGAACTTATAAAAATTTTTGTTGCTTTATATTTGAAACATTTTTATTAGTAATATTTGTATCTACATTCTGATTTTGTGTGAATCATGTCATATCTGTGTAAAATTGTTGTTAATATATTTTTGTTGTTGTATAAATACTTCTGTATAATAGACATATATAATTGTCTTGGAGTCATAATTTTTGCTTCAACAAATAATAATTTTGATGAGAAAATAGTCGGTTTGGCATAAATTATTTTAATTTTATTAATCTTCTAACTTCATGGGACGAGTAGGAAAAATTTCTCCCCATCCTAGAATTCCATATTACACGTGATTCTACTAGTGCATACAAGGAATGAAACTAATTTAGATGGGATAGCTATCGGTTTTCTAATTTATTAAAAACACTCAAAAACTGGAAACAGAAAACGATTCAATAATGAGTCAAAATCAAAAATAATATCTGTATATCCTTAAGTTATAAATTTTAAAATCGCGTAAAAACAAAAAAAGACTTGTTCAAGCGTTCCAGTGCATTCATTATTTTCGTGCCTGATACAGTAGCCCTCCTTTACATTTATTTATCATTCATTGCTTTTTCATCTAAAAGCTGGGGGCGAGCAGGAGCATATAGGGCCTGCCTCTCAACTTGTCAAAACCTGCTGGTTGTCGCTGAGAAGTGTCTAGAGATAACCATCTTTTCAGCTCATCAAAGTCCTGTTAGCTATCAACTCCTCAAAAACCTACTGGTGCATAAAATACTGTTAGCAGTCCTAGATAATTGATATGAGATTTTTTTAGTATTACATCCCAAAAATAAATAAATAGAATTGTTTTCGGACACAGCCTCTTCCCCCTGTTTTTGGAGGATTCATTTTTATAATTCAGAAATTAGCATTCTAGCGGCATACGTTTAAATGTTTTAAGAACTAAATACTTCACACGTTCCAGATGTGTTTGATATAAACCCAACCACAATTAACAGCAGGACATGCAGCAACAAGTATTCTAACCCCTTCTGAAAATCGTTGAATGTATAATTTTTTTTTAATTAAACTAAATTTTGTTTTCCATGGTAGGTATGTTATAAAATAAGATTTTTACTATTATACATAAAGCTAAGGTGTTCACAAACATTTGAAGGTGATGACATTTATTATTATCTATTATAAATCGTATATATTTTAATACTACCAAAATATCTAACATTTTTTTCTGTTTCTTGTTTACTTTTTCTACCACTACAATATAATCTAAATAGATTATGCAATAAATACCGTTTAATCGAAGAGTATTAAAAACTGGTTCAAATTTATTTGTGGAAACAAAAAGGTGTTGTTGAGTGGCCCATTGGCATTGCATTATTTTCATAAAGACAATCTATAAATTTAATTCTTAAATATAAATATTTTTTTCTCTTTTGAAAAGAGAAATGTATCAAATTTAAAATGAAACATTTCTCGAGAGACATGCCTACATTTCCTAATTACACCTTTTTTAATTAATTTTGAAATAGCCACATTAAAATTTTTTGATTTTCAATGGCTCTAATTTCTAGTTTGACATATATAACTAAGTAGAGCTTTTACAAAAGGAATTTTATAACCTTTAACCCCCTATTTTTAAAAAATTCATTCCAAATAAAAATTTGTCAGGCATACTCACACGAACAATTTTTTATGTGTTTTTCTTGTGATATTTTCGTCTAGTTGACTACATATAAAAAATATTTTCCCTGAATCTATTGAGAGCATTCTCTTTTTATC